ATATGTGACAATAATGACAGACTTTCCCAGGGTGAAACGTTAAAGGGGGAAAAATGTATGATGTGAAATTGAACTAAGTTGCTTTGAAACTGTATTTTATTGTCTTTCAAAAAAATTTATTTAAAGCTATTAAGGATTTTCGTGCTTAAAAGAAAATGCAAATGCACAACCCTGTACCCTTCGTCAGAAGGAATGCGTGAGAGAACGTGCACGAGCCCATTTCTCCTTGTGCATGCTCTGTTTAAAAGGTGCTGTTCTCATAGCTCATACGAGTTTACTTTGTTCGAATGTCCATCCTAACCCCTATATTCCTTTAATCACTATATAGAGCAGGGACTGTATAGTGGACTTTATCGCAAACTCGGTTAACTGACCGTTCGGATAGATGATCACTGCATTTTGCTCCCAGTTGGTCAAGTAACTCCTCGAGTGCACGGTGTCTGTGCCATCTTTGTTATCAGTCTCCAATGTTGAGTAGCGACATCCTATGGCGACAGCAGGCCACTGCGAGAGCAAATCCCATAATGCTTTGTGAGGAGAGCTCTCCGTGCAAAGCATTTCGGGATATATCTGCCTCTTCTGAGGCATTTCTTTTCTTCTCATTCACCTCATAGACACTTTTTCTCTTACAATCCTCGGCCATTTTCAAAGAACCGCTTTAAGAAACATGAGCTTCAATGACTGTCTGAAGCTGTAGCTAACCACTGATATACGTCTGACAGTACGCATGCACGGGAAAAGGTGGCTGATGGGACGAACACATGGGACGGCCTAACATAAACATATCATCAGAAGGATTGACAATTAGGAGGACCACTTACTGAGATGTTCCTCCAGAACGAAAATATCATTCTCTGTATTAAGTACCTTCAGTTTTAGGTCTTGAATTTAATTTTAAATCAAGATTTTCTTTTTTATTTGTGTGGCAAACCTCCAACTCCTTCAGACCAGAGTAATCAAACACATACTGATCCATTACATATGGTGAAGTTATGGGGCTGCATTTAAATAAATCAGGTTTTTGTTCTTTTCTTTTTGATCGATGCTCAAAACCAAACTTACCAATGTGAAATAAATAAAATGAGTAAATATCTGAGCATTGCCATTTCTGTGTTGATCAGCAATATTTACTTGTGAGGCCAGGGTGAGCATAATTTAAGGTAGTCCCTACTCTTTTAATTCCAAGTGTTCCCCAGAAAATGTGTTTGTAAGACCTAGAAAGCCATTCCCCTTTACCTTACCCCAAGACTCCTCCCTCTATACTCCTGAGAAACAACCGGCCCCTCTTAGCCCTTTGAAAAACACATTTTACTGGCTCAAAATGAGGCGAAAGGCCTCAAACTAGAGTTAACCTTACACATATGTGTAGCAATGATAAAATGCATTAGGGTCCCAAAGGAGCTTCAGTCTAAGTTATAGGAATAACAGAACAATTTCCCCTTCATTAAATAAAATAAAGTAATGTAAAATGAGTTTGGCTGAACCTGACCTGGCACTTACCAGCAACAATACATTTGTGACTATTTAACATTTTATCAGTTGGAAAAGAAATCAAACAGACAAA